GTTTTGTTTTAATAAAACAGTGCTGCACTGCACCTCCATGCTCATCCCCTTGTGAACTCACGTACAGGAAACTCTCCAGGTCTAGGACGTGAAGAACCTGCCGGGTCATTTGGCCTACAGGTGCGTTTTCAGTTCAGCATTTGCTGTCAAACTGCTCTCCAGAGTGGTTTACCACTGCTGTCCGTGCCCCGGCAGTGTCTGAGAGTTCCCATTTCTGCTTCTTCTCCCATCGTGGGGTGCGATATTCCCCATCGTGGTGTGGGAGCCCCACAGCACAGAGCAGGTAAAAGAAATGAACCAGCTCGGGCAACGTCACCACGGAGAGGTCTCAAGAACTAATGGTGAGTGAAAAAGGCAAGCTGCAGAGCACAAAAGGGTTGTGGTAACTCGACTCCATCCAGAAAATTTTATTTCTTTGGTTACAAAGATACTTGAAGGGAATACAACAAAATATTGGCAAACACCAATTCTAAGTGAGGGGGAAATGGGAGGGTTTGATCTAAAAAGTTCTCAAAACCTTGTTGTATTAAAAAAAAGTCCTCAATTAAAAGGGGGGAATTGATGTGCAGAGATTCCCAAAATATACTGGGGAACAGATTTTTTTGAAGCAGCTTCCACATTTGGACTCACTTTTCCCCATGCAGAGGTTCATATTAGTGGAGCTGGCTAGGCTTCCCTTGTGAACATTGTTTAAAAGTAGATACAATATCAAGGAATTTTGGAAGTTCTTATTTTTAACCAGTAAAATGAAAATTTTCCACAGCTTGTAATAAAATAAGTGCTCAAGCAGGAGCCTGCCTCTTTTGCTCCATGTAACTACAGCTCAAAACCTGTGCGAGGCTATTCTGGGCCTGGGGTGCAGGAGGTGACTCACTGTGTCCCTCCCTCACCCTTCCCCCACCCATTTATTCAGGTAAAATCAGATTAGAATAAACATCAAAGGCGGCTTTGGAAGGGAAGGGAAGTCAGAGACATTGAGACCAGGGCTGATGACAACCATGTGGGTGACATGCTGGCTTCTTAATTAGAGGCAACCGCAATTTACGAGCACCCATTTCCCAGGAACGGCACTAACTTTCACAGCTTCCTTTGTGTGCCCGTGGAAGAAACATTTAGAGCATGCATTCGCAATATATAATTTTTTGCTCTCTTTTTCATAAATGTAAAAGTCTCATGCCTGCTTTTAATGTTATCTGAAATGTTAAAATAAATAAAAGTATGTGACTATGAGCAGATCAAGCATACCTCATACCTGTGAACATCTCTGCTCTAGGATAAAGTGCCAGTACTGCCCTGAAACTCCCGAGTTTTGGGCAAATCTGGATTTGAAGCCTGACCTGACCACTCAGAGGCTGTGGACCTCAGGCGAGCGTCTCGCTTTCTCTTAGCTTCTATCCCCATCTCTGGAAAGGTGATATGATACCTGCCACTTGGGGCTGCTTTGTAGATTCTGTGAGGCACTTAGCACCACTGCCAATTAACTTAAAAAAATAACAAACCTGAAAATGTTAATCTGAATAATAGCCTTGGGAAGTAGGCTAACCCCTTTCTTCCCATTTTATAGATGAGAATACTGAGGCCCAGACAACACACTTCCACTGAGGAGGGCTAACGCTTGTCCAGGCCAAGCCCCTTTCACTGAGTACCGCCCCCCACCCCCACCCCGACCAAGTGTCTGCAGGTGAACGGTAGATCTGGAGTCACCTTCTCCCCAGCCTTAGTCTTTGACCCCAAAATAGTGTCCAGGGTGATTGCTCACGTGGCTCCTCAAGGCCCCAGGATCCAGTTTCCTTAGCACTAGTTAAGTAAGTATTATATTAACCAGCTCTTGTATGTTCTGTCAACTGGGCTGTAAGCTTTATTTCAGAGAAGGGACCAAGTCTCCTGGGCCTCAGTAGGCCACAAGCCTCTGAAAAACAGGCTGTATTCCTTGTGAGAGACCTTCAATGGAGACCTTCCCTGCATAAGCTCATTTTAGCTTTAAGTTTCACCATCCAAGTTTTACCAAGGTGACACACAGACACAAAACTAGAAATAGACTTTCCTATCTGTTCCCCTGAACCCCTTACCTTTGTGCCCTTTCTCAAGTCACTGAACCTCTCAGCCTCAGGTTCCTCACCGGTAAAGTGAGGACATTAATATCTTCCCTGCATGTTCTGTGGATCAAAATAAAATGAGATGCTGTGTGGGAAAACCTTTAGTAAACTTTAAGGCAGTTTCCCTCTCTGACTCCCAGCCTGAGCCCCCTCCTTCCTCAAACAAGCAGTAGGACTGTGCCCTCTGTTCCCTTAAAGCATTTCTCAGCAGACCTGCCCAGCTGCCTCAGCTGAGAGGGGACCAAGTGGTCTCACATTCAGTAAAGGAGGAAGAAACGGTGCGTCCATGCTGAAAAACTTGCCGAATTTCTAGCGCTTGTTAGGTCCATCTCTATTTATTGTGTTCTAAGCTAAACTCCTTCCAGGATGCCTAAAATCTCCTGTCTTACAAGTTTCCAGCAATGAAATCTTGGTCAAGTTACTTAATGTATCTGAGCCTCAGTTTCCTCATTTAACAAAATATGATAATACTTGCCTCACTGGGTTATTGTATCAAATGAGGACACATTCCAGTAGGCAGTCAGAGCCTGTGATTTTTTCCCCCTCTTCCCTTGTTGCTTTTCTCTCTCTTCTGTTTATCTTTCTAAACCTCCGTGCCTCAGCTTGCTTTCTGTGACGAGGGGATAAGAATACCTGGCCTACTTAGCTCACTGCTTGTTGTGTGACTCTGGAATAAAGGCTGTGGTAGGGCTTTGGAAACGATGACATGTAGTATAAATACCGGTGTGGGGTTATTCCCGGGATGTCCGACCTTGAACTGATGAGCGTGCTGGTCCTTCCAGGCCTGGGCTGTTGTGTGCAGTGACCACATGTAGAAGGTCACTTAACATACCTTCTCTTACTGCTCTTCCTGAGGCCCCTGATGCTCTCACATCTACCTGTGGTGCCCTGTAGCCTCCTAACACCTGTCACTCACACGCCTCCCCCTTCTGTCTCTTTCGCCTCCTCTGGATCACGAGACCCAGGACTGTCCACCCACTGCTCCCTGGATACAGAATGATGCCTGCCCCAAATCCTCCGGGCTGTGAGAAGCTGCCTGTCATATGAGCCCCCCCTCCTTAGCGTCCTGAATAAATACTAAAGACTCATTATGGGGAGCTAAGGAAAATAAGACGTGCTCCCAAAGCCCCCAACGACCCACAGTGTGAACACCCTCGCCCCCTGCAGAGGCCACCAGCCCCCTCTGTGGCTGAGGAAGAGCCGCTGAGTATTGGACTCAGAGGGGGCCAGGGTGCTGCCGGCTGGGAGCTGGGAGGGCGGGGGCCACAGAGGCAGGGGAGCTGAGCTGCTCTATTCTGGGCACAGTTTCAAGGCCAGCTGCAGGGAGAACAAGCAGTCGCTGTGTGTCTGCAGCTGGCAGTGGTTAGGCTAGGGCTGTCCCTCACTTGGGGTGTATTTAAAGACACCCCAGCAGATGATCATGCCAACAGCAAAAATGCACACACAGCTCCAGCCACGTTCAGTCTCCAGCCCAGCCTTCTCCTTCCCTGCAGCTCCCTGGCCGTGGATTTACGTATCCATAGAGTACAGCGGGCACAGCGGGCTCCTCAGCCTTTCCCCGGTGGAGGTGGTACCACCTGGGGACATGTGCCCCCGGCTCCGGGGCCTCTCTGCCCTCTGACTGAGCTGGCTAAAAGTTCAGGGCATTAGCTGGGGCGGCGCCTCCCACCCTGGGGCTGGTAACCCGGCAACCGCTGGGGAGAGACAGGCAGATGAGTCAAAGAGAAGCACAGAATCTCTGGCTTTGTGTTTTGTTTGTGAAAACTCCCTGTGAATGCAGGCTCCCTTCTGCAGGGAGTGGCAGGGCTTTCCCACACTGCTTCAGGCGAAGGGCTCCTCCTCCAAGGGATGCCCGGGACCCCCTTGACTGCTACTGCAGGCTTAGGGACAAAGCCCATGGGCCGGGAGGAGCCCATCCTGGCCGAACTCTGTTCTTCTCAAGTGAAAACAAGACTACAGGCCTGAATCCCATGGGAAGGGGTTGGCGGGGTGGGGGGGGTGGTGGTGCGGGTTGGTCAACTGAGAACTATGGGCAAGGGACCCGATGGGCCTGAGGTCCCGCAGCAGGTGTGCAGAGAAGTTTGGGCTTCCACGTGGCCAGAGACCAAGCAGACCTTTTCATAGAAGTGACAAGACCTCACGAGAGCAGCCCAGCAGATGCAGGGTGAGAGGTGGGAAGTGGGCAGCTTATCCGCCGGGAAGGGAAGCTGACAAGCTAAGTGTCTGAGGCAGGCTGCTCCAAGTGCCAGCAGAGTGAGGAAAACACGAGTGCACCAGTGGGGTCAGCTGTGTAATTTGAGGGGCCTGGCTCAAAATGCAAATACAGGGCCCTTTGCTAAAAAATCATCAAGAATTTCAAGACAGTGTCAGAAGAGCATTAAACCAAGGGTCCTTCTGAGCGACTGTGCAGGTTGCACACCCATGAAGCCGGCCCTGGGTGCCTGTGAGTCAGCTCCTTGAAAGCAGCGGCGGGCGAGCTGGGGGATGTCTGGCCACCTCCGGCCTCAACCCCAGACCCCTCAGCCCTGTGGCCATCAGCTCCCAGACTTTTACCAGGCTTGGGACATTGCCTCTACCCTCACAGCAGCTCCTCTCCCTGCGTGGGCAGCAACTGCCTTCACCTCTCGGAAAAGGGGAAATTTCAAGGCCACAGTGGGGAGAGGGCTGAGGGCCGGAAGGGACTGCGGCCCTGAGTCCACTGGGCCTCTAGGTCTGGATGGGCCGAGAAAGGCAGGCCCCGTGACTGGAGCCTCCTGGGAGTGAGGCCGTGGATGTGTTGGGAACAGGATGGATGTACAATGGACTACATTTGGGATCACCTCTTGAGGACGCTACAGGACATGTCCTGAGGGTGCGTAACAGTCCAGGAGCAGAACCAAGGTCCAGCAAGCCTTGGGAACTCACCTCCAACTCTATGTGGTCGTGGAGTTTCTTGCAGGTGGCTGCGAAGGTCTCTGAGGTGCCGAATTCAAAGTACCACAGCTTGTTCTTCATCCTGGACCACGAAGCAGAAAGATGACTCAGTGTTCTGTGTTTGAAATGGTCGCGTACAACAGCTCTGCTGTCGGTGTCCCCGGTCTTATGTTTTCAGTACTTGTTAATTGGATCAGGGGTGGAAAATTTTTAACCAACTGTTCTTGCTATGAATTTAGAGAAAAACCCATTTATTTCTTAGACATCACGGCTACTCTGGGTGAACTGCAAACAGATCTGTGAACTTCCTGGTCAGAGAAGGAGAAAGGCCTGCTTTGCCTCCGTATCTGGATCAAGGGAGGAGTTCCATGAAAGTCAACCAGAGGCGGCAAGGGACAGCATGCTCTGGTCACTATCCTTTCTACTACTAACGCAGAGGAACTTCAATAGTTGGGGTACAAAGGGACGATCAGACAGCCCTTTGAGACTTGAGGGATGTACACTCTCAGGACAGAGGGGGAACAGCCCAACATTAAACCAGCTAAAATGTGTGCTACTTTGTCTGTGCTTTGATTGGGAGAAGCAGAGTGGAGAGAATTGGACACAGATTTGCAGGCAAGGTGGAAAGAGAAGAAAAAAAGTTAGTTGTTTGCTAGCAATAGTTCCCCCCACTTCTTTCTCAACTGTGTTTGTTTAGGCTATGACAATCCTTGTTCTATTTGCTTCAAAGTAAGAGCTCACTATTTTGAACTTTAAAAATTTTCAACATTTTCCTTATTGGGGGGAAAAAAGAAACACACAATGGGGTTCCCACGCAGCTGGGAGCTTTGCGAAGTCAGATGGTGTGTCGCACACTTGGTCGTTTTGATCAGATGGTCTCACCAGGAAGTGTTTCTGAAGGTATTCCATTCCTTCCACGCCAACTGTCATCCCCTTATCAGGGGCTGGCTAAGAGAAGGGACACTGTCCAGTTTATAAGCTGGCAGATTCTGCTGAGGAAGGATTTAAAAAAAATCACATTCTTCTTGGCACACTCTTCAGGAGAGAGGATGCCGCTCTACGTGTTGCGGATCCTCCATCCTCAGATCTGTGGACTAAGAGGAAAGGAGCATTCTTCAAAGGGAAGAAGGCTCTTATTTCTTCCTAGTATTCCTTAGGTCATACTGTTTAGAATAACAGACAAAACTTTTCTCTCTACATTTCTCAAAGAGTCCACCTAGAACTTGAAGATGAGACTGTGTCCTCCCATTGCGTGAAGATTTCTAAGACCTAGTTGGGAAGATTTCTGACTCTTGGTATGCAGGAGAAGAAATGACAAATGATGAAGGAAATAAGAATAAACAGGGCTTCCCTGGTGGTGCAGTGGTTGAGAGTCTGCCTGCCGATGCAGGGGACGCGGGTTCGTGCCCCGGTCCGGGAGGATCCCACATGACGCGGAGCCGCTAGGCCCGTGAGCCATGGCCGCTGAGCCTGCGCGTCCGGAGCCTGTGCTCCGCGACGGGAGAGGCCACAGCAGTGAGAGGCCCGTGTACCAAAAAAAAAAAAAAAAAAGAATAAGCAAGATTTATGGAGTTATGCTCATGAAGAAAGTTAGAAAGGACTGGGTGTGCTTTAAGTAGACCACTGCTTCTCAACCAGCGTGCTGCGGCACAGGTACGCCTGAGATACCAATCTCCTCAGCCTTCAGGGTGGCCAGGTTGGGGTCTGGGGCAGGCTGAGCACCACCCTCCCCATGCCACAGCTGGCATTCTCTTCTGTGTGACAGAAATGCCAAACAAATGCTTTTGTTTTCTATGCCTGCCATGAAATGCATAGGAAACACTGCTCTGATCACTAGTTCTCTGTGTGCACAGTAATGTGAATACAAACTACCTGGGGATTTCACTGAAATGCAAATTCTGATTAAGTCATTCAGGATTTGGGCATAAGAATTCCTTGTTTTCTAATAAGCTGCTAATGCTGGTCCAGGGATCACACTTGGAGCTGTGAGGATCTGGAGACTACATTTGTGGTTCTGAGACATTAGTATTCATAAGAATTACTTGGCGAATGTGATTAAAATGCTAGTTCCTGGGGTCCAATTTGTAGAGATTCTGTGTGATAGCTGTGGGACTGGGCCCAGGAATATGCATTTTTATGAGTGCCAGGTGATCATTATGCAGGTGGTGAGCTGTCAGGACTTTGAGAAACATTGCTCTAGATCCCAGTGAAATGACACCCAAGGAAGAGGACAGACCGATTAACCCTGAAAGAGAGGATTCCTCAGGGAGGACAGAATGAGGGTCAGTGCCTTTCAATAGACAGTGATGGCAAAAGACCCAGTAATAGGAAAAACACAGATTGTCATACATGTCAAGGTTGAGGATGCCTCTCCAGCAGTGAAAGCATCTCTGCAGCCAGGAGACCCGCATTATGATTCCACTTTCAAATATCACTGCTGTTGTGAATCATGACTTTTGAAAGTTATTGCCAGGAGATTTAGAGTTTTAATAAAAATTTCCAGAAGCCACAAGCTATTTTTGCCCAGAAGTGGCTCTTCTGATGATCTAATAAGGTTAAGAGGTCAGTATCACAGAATGACTGAGAGGATCAAACAGACTGCTCTTCCATTGCTGGTTAAGTGTCCATTACTGGCTGTGTAACCTAAGCCTCAGTTTCCTGATCTGTAAAGTGGAGATAATAAAAAGATCTGCTTCAAGGGGTAGTTGAGAAGATTAAATGGGATGACTGCAAAGCACTTCCCATAATGCTTGCTGCAATGATAAACTCACCAAGACTGTCAGCTACTTACTTATCAGTTATAATTTCAATGTCTTTTGAGTTGGCATGTTTGGATAACATAATAAGGTTAAATGACAGATCAGGTTGGGTAGCCGTAGACATTATACATTCAAATTTTTCTGGGACAGAAAAATATGTGATCATATTTGTCAGATCATGTGTCTTGACTTTTGGTTAAAAATACATGTTCCCAACATGTCTAATCTAATAGATTTTTTCCAGAGTCACAGACCACACCCGAATCCTTGGCTAATTATCTTGACTGGTCACATAATTGTCCAAAGACGTGAGGCTGATTGCAAATATGCTTTTGAGAAAGTGCACGTTTGGTGTGAGACAAAGTAGTTATCGATTCAAGAAATATTCGTTGTGCCAGGACTAGATAGGGTGTACTAGGTGCAATGGAGAACAAAACACAGCACTCCACGGGCCAGACACCTGGGAAGGGCAGCCAAGGAAACAGATCATAGGGTCGTGTGCTAAGCACTGGGACCACCTAGGAGGAGGGACATCCAATTCTTAGTGGGACCACCACTCATCCTAGGTGGATGATGAGTTCCGAAGGATGTGGAAAGGAATAGGGAAGGTGGAGGAAGAACATTCTAGGCAGAGGAAAAAGCCCAAGCAATGGCACAGGGTAAGAGTGAGCATAGACCTGCTAGAGGGGATCTGGAACTCAAGGAGGGGTGGATTGGCCAGGTAAGGCTGGAAGGGCAGATAGGAGCAAGATTATAAAAGCTGGGATGCCATGTTTAGGTGTTTGAGCTTTATCTTAAAGTCTGTAGTGTGTCATGGACCATCCTTAAGTGGGGGTGGTGATAGGGGGTGGCAGTAGTGACCTGAACAGACTTGTGCTTTTTATAGATCACTTTGTCCCAAGTCTGGAGAGTGGACTGCAAGGGGTGGGTGCAGACTGGAGACCTGGAGAATGGTTTCTAGGTGGTGTAGAAACTCAGGAGAAACCCAGGAGAGAACTGGGAAGGACCTGAACAAAGGCAGTGATAGTAGAGCTCAGGAGAAGAGAAGGGATTCACAAGCTAAAATATAGGAGGTGGAACTGACAGGGCTGGTTTGTTGTAAGGAGTGAGTAAGAAAGAATAGTCAAAGTGACACCCAAGTTTTTGTCTTAGATGGCATGATTGATGGCAGGTGCTGTTCACTGAGAGAGTGGCACAGGAGATCAATTCTCCAGTGGCAGTCCTCTTTGTAATTGAAGGACAGCACTTTTGTGTTGTGGCTCATCTGTCCATCTATCCATCCGTCCACCCACCCACACATTCATTCATCCATCCATTCGCCCACCCATACATCATCTATTGAGCCATACTATGGAACAGGCACTGCATAAAGGCCTGGAGATAAGTGATGAGTAAGACAGGCAAGATCTCTGCCTCACAGAGTTTACATACTTTTAATAGCTTCCCCAAGATGCTAACCTCTGCCCCACAGGGAACTATGTGTTCAAAATCTGACAGCTTTTGGGACTTCCCTGGCGGTCCAGTGGTTAAGACTCCACGCTCCCAATGCAGGGGGCATGGGTTCGATCCCTGGTCGGGGAACTAAGATCCCCACATGCCACATGGCACGGCCAAAAAAAAAAAAAAAAAAACAAAGACAAAATCTGACAGCTTTTATTTCTCCTTTTTTAATTTGGGCACATTTTAGTTAGAAGTAAATACATTCTATTCCTATGGTTCTTTGGTTTTGCACTCTGCTAAACATTTCACGTATACTATCACTTTCGATTCCCTGAAGAGCCCTATGAAGTAGGTACTATTACTACAAGTCAGGGAAGACTTGGGGGAGAAGTAAGTTGCCTAAGGTTGCAGAGCAAATAAGTGCGGAGGGGGCACCCAACTCTGACTGTCGGACCCCAGAGCCTGTGCTTTGCTCCCCTGCCACGGTATCTTCTCATGCTTTTGCATGTTGTGTGATGTGGTGTTGTGTGCTCCTATTACACCGCCTGGGCTGGCCTGGTTGTCCTTCACGAGGCTGTGAAATGGATGCAGGTGTGGGCCTGGGGCGTTAGTGGCTGCATCGTGCACTAGGAAATGCTGTCTGATGAAGAGTGTGTGTCGCCCCCCACCCCCCTCCCCCAGGTCCCAGTGGCCAGGGAGGTTCTAGAGGAGTTTCGATTGGATTTGTCACAGGAACCTCCTGGTCTTGAATCTACACCATCTCAGAAAGTCAGGGAGACCAGAATTGATCCCTAGAAAAGCCAGATGTTCCCAGGACACCCTGCACCTTTCATTCTCTCTGCTCACCCAGGAATGAGGCAGAGGCTGTGCCCTTGCACCATCT